TCATGTTCCTATAGTTTTGCTTTTTTTCTGCTTCAAATTACATGTATATAATCTAACAAATTAGGTTTTCATTGCTAAGAAAACCAGACTTCTGTAATCACATATTCAAGATCCAGTTTAATTTTCTGTGTGGTGCTCAGGGAATATTGCGGCTTGGTGTGATGAAAGATAAGTGTGTGGGGGGGAAAATCTTAGAAACTGCTTTTGACAGAACAATAATATTTAACCTATGTGCCACAAAAGCAAGTTCTATTTTAATCAAAACTTGCCTGTGTTTATATATTAGATTGGGCTTCTTCTTAATTGTTCTCTTTTTTTCCATGCATTAAGAGAAAATATATATTTTCAATTTCAATGACTTATTTTAAGATTAAAGGAATAGTACAGCAATAAAGAATAAAATTGAAGCCTTCCAGAGGAAATATAACAGTCCTCTTCAGCTGAAACTACTCTTTCAAGCTGAAGGCCTTGCAGCAGACAGGCAGGCAAACTTTTCAAGATTTAAGGGTTCACTGAATGAAAAAAGAATCCATTATAATTACATTATTTCATATAGCTTATTAGTGTAATTTTCACTCAAAGCATATGGTTATATTTCCCAGTTCTGTTTGCCTTTGTCTCTCCTCCTCTCCCTTTCTTTTTCACACGTGCACATATACACACAGGCCATATACAAATGGTCATGTCTGGTGGAGGAAAATTTCCATCACTAGAATTGATTGTGATGCAAGGAGCAGCCCAGACATTCTGTTTGCAACCACCCACTCTCCCCTTCTCCTTGCACCTTCCCCAGACTGGTCTGATCTCAGCCTAAGAAATGCCTGAGTGCTTCAGTTCTCCTGCTCCCAGGTGAAATGGAGCAGCGGAGCAAAGCCTCCTACCATCTTCTCAAAATGGGGGCTCCAAAAAGAGAAGCAGGCATGGCTCTCTCTACTCAGCTCATGGGCACTGTGGGAAGAGTGCACTAAGCCTCACAGCAAAGCCCCCACCTGCCCCACACACCCATACTGTATGAGGAACGAGTGGGGGCTTTGCCATGTTATTCCAGAAGAGCTTCCTTGGCCAAGCCAGGTGGCACATGCAGCATTTAAAGCTTGTGGGGCTGGGAACCAGGGTGGAGAAATCCTCCTCAAGCCTGTTTCCATGCAATGCCAGCTTCACATTGCCACCCCTGCCACCATATTGGACAGCAGGGTGGCAATTTAGGAGTTGGCACTGCTGTCTCTTCTCAGCTCTAAGGCACCAGGGTCTCCTGGGTGAGAAGCAGGCAGGGGGTGGCACTGCTGCCTCTGCTTCTGGTGCCCAGGAGCCAAACAGGAGGATCAGTGGGGCAAAGTGCCATGTCTGCCTCTCACATTGGGGACCCTGGTATGCAAGGAGCTGAAGGGTCAGGAGGGGAGGTAATCAGTGGCTGCTCCCCCACTCCCCTCCTGGTATACATGAGGGGTTGGAGCAGTTGCCCTTCTCTGACCTGGGGTGACTCTAGTCTCAGGATGGTACAGGAGTCTTTCCCCTAGGCCCCACTTCTTCTGGTCCCTGGGAGCAGTTAAGATGGGTGAGAGTGTACAAACCTTAATTCACACAGTGGAAATCCTCCCACTAGTGACCTTTCGCTGATTAGACTTGGGGTATTTTTTCTTCCAGAACCACCATTTTTGGTCCAGGAAAAACTGTGAATGTTTCTATACTTGTTCTTTGTACCAGGGGAAAAGTGATTTTCCCCAGGCAGAAACTGACCATCTGTGTATGGCCATACATATGCAAACACCCATTGACTAGGCTTAAGCAACTAAAAATTACCACCCAGGGCTTCTCCATATCTTTTTCATATTTGCCTGTAATGGTTCACTTCTTGGGTGAATGCTGCACATGTGTAGGGGACACAACCCCAGACATTGGAAATAATGTCCATGGAGGGCAATAGAGTCTGACAGTTTACAACAACTGAGGACCTTCCCTTGAAAATCTATAGTGACATGATTGAGGGCCTCAGCTTTAAGTTGACCGGTGCCTTCTTAAAAATCATGATCAAAATAATAAATCATTCTGTGACTTTTCTAACTGTCAGTCTTCTGAAATGCATAGCTGAAGCCCTTGTATGTTATTTAGCTTGGATGTCGGTTATATAGCTATGACAACAATACAGTTATATATATTGTATATGTATTTAAAGTTAATCATTGAGCATATGTTTCCTTTGGATAGCATAGACAAGAGTGATATGCCTCCTACAGTAAGTAGAAGGAATCTCCATAGTAAGAATCCTTCTCTGCTCAGAGAATCAATGAATGACAATATTGTGAAGACCCTTGAGACTTTATCCTTCAAGCAATATTTTTTGATGATAAACACACTCTTAAAACAGAGTAAAAAAGACAAGTGGGGATGGAAGAATAGCATTAACCTAGATAGCAATCTCTGTACTGTTTAAAATTTAATTTCCTCGTGATTCCTAAAAATCTCACTCCACTGAATACAATTTCAATTTAATGAGACTTAATAACAAATGTTTGTCACTTAATGAAGTAGTTGTTGCAATGCCACAATAAAGAGCAAAGCCCCACAAACTAATCCTAGGCTTAGCAGTGTTAGATTATCCAGAAAAAGGGAGTAACCCTTTGTGTGGCTTAAACATTACAAGTAGACCAATGTCTGAAATGTAATCAAATAATGTATTGTGTTTAGATTTGAAGGCTTCTTATTTATTGAACAGAGGAATCCTAGAAATGTGTATGGAGACTGGGACAGGCCAAGGGATTGTGGAGGAGAAAAATATTTTAAAAATGGAATTTTTTTAATGTTTGATTTGAAAAAGTTAGTAAATATTTTGCTTTTGGTGTTGCTAATATTATTATTATTGAAAATTACATACAAGATTAAGTTAGCCAATTAAAATATTGTAGGGCAAATCTGGAAACTTAATTTATTCTTTAACACATCGCAAAGATATTTTGCCTAATTTAAGTACAGATTTCAGAATTTGTCAGGGTGCCAATGACAAAAAGTCCACATGGATTAAGGAAGATGAAATCCCGTTAAAAAATATAAAGCTGCACACTAGATTCATAAAAAGAATATAAACTATATCAACTAAGATTAAATTAATTTTTAAAAATCACATTGATAAGAACAGCCAGACATTTTTTTAAAAGATCCTGATTTTTATGCTATAAACTTACCCTCTTAATTTTGCTCCAGTATTGATACTAATGCTGGAGTTGTTTTATTAACAAACATTTAAATCATGACATGTAGAAACATTAAATGAAAGACGATTGCATCATCTGTTCACAAAAATCACTCATCTGAAATAAATCTCTTTGTCCAGATGACACACAATTCATAGCAAAACATAAGACTCACACATTTTATTTGTTTTGTAGAATGTAGTTTACAAGGAAGTTGGTGCATTGGTTAAATTTTTCATTTAATGGGAAAAAAACAACAATTCTTTCTCTGAATCAGGTTGGGGCTCTTGAAACAAAGGTTTGTAAGTAAAAGAAAATAAAGATGCTTTGGTCTTCTAGTAGATAAGCAAAGAGAAAAAGGGTCAGAGTCTATCCCATCTGTTAGGTACGTAAGTTGACCTAGGTACTCACATGTGATCCTGTTCCACCCTCGTCAGTTCCCTGAAAAAATGTATATACAAATGAATGGGTCCCCCTCCTCTTCACTGCCTGTGTGACTCAGTCTTAAGGGCTGGATGTGTTACAAAAGAAGATCCATTAATGGATTTTTAGACAGCTGAACAATGGAATAAAATCATACTTTGGCAACCTCTTTAGTACACTTAGATATCCAATAGGTGGAATAGGATCTGTCCCACTTGGTTCATCTGTAGATGACAACCAGTTGTTTCAAAAATGAAAAATGCGTGTCTGGTTATTGTATACCGTAATCATCCACCACGTTGTCTTCAAAGGTCATGTTGTTCCAGTGTGTCTTTTAGAGGAGAAAGGAAACTGAAAGAATCACTGCAAGTCATGAGTAGATTTTGACAGATTTAAAACTTCAGATGTTACATTTGCCTCTATAATATGTCCAGGATCCTCTGGGAATTAGCTTTTAAACTTATCTGGGTATTCAAGTAGTCTTTAAGACTTTTTCAGTAGAATTAAGATTGCTGTAGTTGCTATTTTTTAAAAGGAAAAAAAAAGTGTTATTGCTTACTACCTTTTAAAGGGATACATTTTGTTCCTAAACCAGTAAAGCAGTTAAAAATGTATTTAAATGTAAGCAAGGGATAGTCTCATTGTTCCCAGTTTTGTCAAAAAAGAATACTCCCATACTTAAACATAAGCACTTGTTTGAATGCTCTATTGAATCAGGAGCTCAGAAACCTCAGACATGAGAATTTCCTCTTCACTACAGAAATTATTATTTTTGCATAGTTATACGTAGTTCATTCTACAGGACAGTGGGATACTAAACAAAATAAGGATAGGGTGCTAGTACACTGTCCATCTAACATTCAAAAATTGTGCACCACCCAGCACTAAACCAGAGAAACAAGAGAAATCTCCATATACAGAGTTAGGTTCCATGTAATGAATTTAGCAAAAGCAAAGCATGAGTATGACCCCATTACAAGCTGAGAAATTAATCCACGACAGTCAACTATCACTGACAAATCCACTGTAATTGCTCAGACAGTATAAAGAGATTTATACGTCAGTAGCCTGAAGGTCTAGATTGCAGTGAGTTGCAAGAGTTCATTAAAGAACTATTTCATACTCCTGTCAATCTGTCATTTGTTTCAGGTTATTGCTATAAGAAGAGGTTAACCCAAATGAATAAAGGATCATGTAAGATGATTTTTTCTCATTTGTAAAGCTCATCAACTTGACAAGCTTTTGCTTCAGTAATAGAAGGCATTAAAAAGGGGGAGCAGAAAACCATTTGTACATTTTGTTTACAGTCAGGCCTGATCCAAAGACTCTGCTGCTTTCTGAGGTCTTTCAATCAGCTCTCTGGTGCCATTCTCTGAACATCTACAATACATTGCCCTTTTTTTGTTCAGATTTACTTCCCTTCTCTTTGCTGAAGACAGCCAAGTACCACTTTTATTTTACATTACAGTCAGAATTCTACTGTTCATTTTTAAGGCTCCAGCATCAAAGAAGACCAAGGAAAACTGGTATTTTCTTTAGAAAAAATAATACCTGTCATTTCAGGAAAACTATAATAAGAGCTTCTGAAAAAGAAATCATTGGCCAGAGACATATTTTAGTGCTTTGTGAAATATTGTCTCTTTATACAAAGTATGTTCCCTTTTCTATTACAGGAAATCAAAAACTGTACTGTTAAATTGTAGTCCAATAACAACATTTCATCTATTATTTTCTAGACTGTGTGTTAAGAAGCAGAAATAGAAAGAATTGAGAAATAGTGAGTTTTCTTTTGGAATTTAATGAATCTTTCTCTGGCTATGGTTCAGGATTCATGCTTGTACTCGGGCATATTGGAATCCTGGAGGTTATAAACAGATTCAGATTAAGCTCAGACAGAATTTGAATCCTCATTGTAACCCTAACATTATCTCACGTACATTCTACTGGCAAGAATAACACCATCAGCTTAAATGGATTTTTAGTATTAGTTATTAAAAGGAAAAAGAGCAAAGTCTAATTCAGTCCCGAGAACCAATCAGATTTTCCTTGGATTGATTTTTTTTTGTCTGATATTGGTGATGGTTGAAGTAAGGGGCTCCATGAACAGAGGAGATTTAGTATTCCCTCCCTTATGAGCAAGGGCTGCAGAGGCAAATATTGTATTCTTTGAATTACATTCTCTGTAGGACTCCTTGGATATCTTTTATTAGACCAATTAAATCATTGGAAGATTTTTTCTTGCAAGCTTTTTGGCACAAACACCCTCCTTCAGTCATAGGGAGAGTCTGCTGTTATTTTGTGTTATTTGTGTATATTGTGGAATAGAAGCCAATATCCAAAATGGAGATCTGTGAAAATACAGATGTGTGGCAGTGAGGATCAGAGGGCATGGGAGACAATAGGTGTGTGACAGGTCGGTATCAGGGGAAGAAAAGGAGGGAACGTTGACATGGTGTTAGAATGTAGTTGGTGGGTTGTGAGTGTGTGCATGATATACAAATTAGTGATCTGTGTATGTATACTGAGTGTGTAGGTATTGATTTTTTAGGAGGATCGTGTACAATTGCAGGAGTAGAGATTGGGGGCAGGGTGTGTGAAACTCATTTGAAATAGGAGCTGGGCTGAACTGGGAACTGGACAAAAAAATCGCTGTG